AAACGCAAGGTGCTGCGGCTACAGGACGGAGCAGACATCTCCTCCGGCGAGGAGGAGGAGGACAGTGGCACCCGTAGGAAGGGGGAGCGCAGCATCGATATCCAGGTGACCCTCGCATCCGTCTCGTCTCCTGGGAGGCAGGATCCGATCGTCTGGGCTGCTGACGCCCTCTCTGTCTCTGCAGGACGTCAAGTTCAAGCTCCGACACAACGTGGATGAGCTCCAGGCCGTATCCAGCTCAGCCCTCTCCTCCTCGCAGCTCACCCTGCTCAAGCTGGTGCTGTGCAGGGGGCTTTACCCCCAGCTGGCCGTGCCCGACCAGCTCAACAGCAGCCGCAAGGACTCCGATCAGGTCTGCATCCTCCCCCGGCCCCCATCCTGGGGGTCCCTGGCAGCCCCTCGCTCTCCCTCGACGCCCGTTTTGCTCTTGCTGCAGATTTTCCACACCAAAAACAAGCAGGGCATCGTGCTTCATCCCACCTGTGTCTTCGCTACCAGCCCGGAGCTGCTCCACGCCAAGGAGGGACCGGAGCACGGCGGGACCAAAGGTGGGAGAACCCCAATCCCTGGGAAATTGGCTCTGCTTCTCCCTGGCTTTTTTCCTGCCAGGTGAAAGCACCGCTGGCCTCAGGGTTTGGCAAATCCCGGGTGCTGGGGACAGGGAGAGGTTTGGGGTCCAGCTGAGACACCCCTTATCGCCCCTGCAGACCCCACGGAGGGGCTGAGCTGCCACCACCAGCTCCTTGCCTTTGTCTCGCTACTGGAGACCAACAAGCCCTACCTGGTGAACTGCGTCCGGGTACCAGCCCTACAAGTGAGCTCTTCGCTCTCCTCCTCTTCCTCTCTGAGCCCTCTGGTAGCCCTTCATCACCCCAGAACGGTGGTGGTTTGCTGCTCCAGGCTCTCCTGCTCTTCTCCCGTTCGCTGGACACCAGCGCGGACTGCGCCCGGCTGGTAGCGGATGGCTGGCTGGAGCTCACCGTCCCCGACGCGGACTCCGCCGTACGCCTGCTCTCCACGGCCCTGCAGCTTCGCTCCGCCTGGGAAAAACTCCTCCACCAGCTGCTGGAAGGTCGGGGAGAGGAGTCGTGCCGCCGGCCGAGCTCCCGGGACGTATCCGTGCTCACCCGGCGGCTGCTGGAGTTCCTGCAGATGAAGGTGATGGGGCCCTGACCGCGGCACAGGTGGTTTTAACCCGCCTGCGGTGCCTCGCATCGGCTTGAAGGCTGAGAAAGGAGGGGGGGGGGGGGGGGGGCGGGTCAGCAAAGTGGAAAGAGCCGTTTGGGATGTAAGTGGAAGGCACGGAAGGGTGGTGGCAGCTCCGAGTCGAAGAGGCATCTATGGCAGAAGGTTTCTTGGCCTCCCGGGCCCCCCAACCCGTGGCTGCCGCTCCCCGGCTCCCGGGGCTCTTCCAGGGGACGGAGATGAAGCCCGACGAGGTGAAAGGTGGCCACAGGGTGACAGACTTCCTCACCTACAACTGCCTGGCCGTGAGTACATCCCTCTCCCGCCCTGCCTGCCGCCCCCCCGGGAGTCTGAGCATCCCCTTCGTCCTTTGTATCCCGCAGACGGACACGGACCTCTACAGCGACTGCCTGCGGAGCTTCTGGACGTGTCCCCACTGCGACCTCCACATGCCCTTCACCCCCCTGGAGCGCATGTGCCACGAAAGCGCTTGCCGGCCCGCCGAGGGTGAGTTTTCCCCCCGCACCGAAGGGGCTGCGACAAGGGACCGTCGGGGAGAACCGGCCTGGATTTCCCTGGGCGGGGGGAAGCCCACTGGTGTCGCTGCTCCGTGGGCGACCCAAGGAGAGGGGCGGCAGTGAGCCGGGCTGCGTTTATCCCGGCTTTTAGGAGCTCCCTCGAGGTGCCACCGAGGGCCACAATTTGGGGGCGCGATGTGGGGAGGAAAAGGGTCTTGCATGCCTTTGGTTCCCTTCTGATCCCTGTTTTTTCTCTACGTTTTCCCGCAGCTCCCCTGGAAGAAGCACCCGAAAGCTCGTCCAAAACCTCCACCCTCCACAGGTCCTACCACTGCGACCTTTGCCAGCAGGATTTCACCTTCACCCCCACGGAGATCCTTCGGCACAAGAAGCAGCACCGGTGACCCGGGACTCTTCGAGACGCTCTCACCAGCATCACCGTCGTTCTCGGGTGAGTTTGGCTGAATCCCGAAAGGGGTTTGGTGTTTTAGGGGTGTCCTGGTGACTCCTGCAGCTCATCACTGATGGTGTCAGTCCTCAGGCGGGTGCAACAATCACTCTGATTTTTATTTTTTAAACATGTAAATAAATAGACTTTTGGAGAAAGTCAACGCTGACCTGGAGCGTGTCGCTGGACATTGAGGTTCCCCTGCGCATGTGGGTGCTCGGCTCGGTGCCTGCACCCCCAGATGTGGCCAGAATTGGGGGCTGCAGGACAAGGGGCGTTTGTGGGGTCTCGGGGAGGTCTCCTGCCTGCAGCGCTGCCTGGCGCGGCGTGACCAGCGTGTGGCACTCCTATACCGGAGTCATCCCTGCTTCATCTCCTTTTCTTGCTGCATCCCATGGGAAAAGCATCGGAGAGGCCCGTGCCAGACTTTACCACCACCAGGACTCAACCCCCTCCCAGGTCCCCCCAATATTAATACCTGAGCATCCCTCCGGAGGACATTCACTCCCGACACGGTGAGAAGGTGCTGCCTTAACGTTGTAAGAGACGTTGCCTTAGGAATCGTGGCTGGCTCCGGCACTTTTTTGGGCTGAAAACACCTGGAGAAAGGCAAAGCCTGAGTGGCTTGTACCCACACACGCCCTGCAGAGGCAAATGCCCCCACGACAGGCATTTATCAGCTCTCTAAACCCACTTAAAATGCACTAATTATCAGCCCGTGTGCTGCATTAGGCTCAAGCAGGGTTATTAACAGTCCCCCTTCTAATTAAAGCAATTTGATGGTATTTTTAGCTCTGTGACATGTTGCATTTTATTCATCAGGCGAAGAAAATAATAAATAAGAGTGGTTTAACCGGCCTCGTGATGCTTTGGGGTAAGGAGCTGCTCCAAGAGCAGAGTTTCCTGGGATTTTACCTTTTTTTGAGCCCTGTGCAGAATTAACCATCGCTGGGGCTCGGCGCACGTTGCTGGCTTTTTTTCTTTTTAAAATTGATTTTCTTTTTTTTCTTTTTTTCACCTCCCTTTTTTCTCCCAGCGCGCAGCCTTTGTGACTCGCTGTTTGTCCTCCCCTTCTTGATTGGGTTTATCTGCAATTAATTACCGCTCGGGCGCAGGTAATTCCCGGCTGGTGGTGTCGCAGCACTTGCAGAAATTAATTAAGCAGGCGATTTGCTGAGCAGATTATTTGGTTTCTGGGGGGGCTGGTGGATCTAATTCGAGCCTTTACTGCAGGCAGCTGCCTGTCCCTTGGCTCAGCATGATCCCACCACGTTTTCGGGGTGCGGGGAGAGCAGTCTCCCCCAATTTACTAACGAGTCTCCGTTTCTATGGCAGCGAGGTGGGATGGGAGATGCTCCTGCCATGGCAACAGGCATCAGATGGGTTTGGCTTTGCTGTTTGCAGCTACAGGACCCCCAGTTCTTTGCCCTCCCCATTGGGTTGAGCGATGGAAGGTGAATTAAAAAGCCCAGCTGGTGTTTCTGGAAGTGCTGGTCTGGTCCCACATGCTTAAGATACTCTGAAAAACTCACATTTTCCCCCCAAAAGCTGGGCTTTGCTTTCCAGGGTGCGGTTTGGTCCCCGGTTCCTGTGCCATGGGGGACTTTAGTTTCACTCCGGGCCGCCTGGCCCCACTAAATGTCACCCACAACCAGCCCGGACCCACTCCTCAGGTTTCAATTAATCAAACTTAATATTCTCACCTTAATAAGAAGAACCCGAGAGCCCTCAGCAATAATCGTGAGGGCTCACAAAGCATAAACCAGCTCTGCCTGTTGACCGCCCTCCTGAAGAAACCACAATATCGCTCTTGCCTTGAATGCAACGGCAAAGCCTTGTTGCTTTTAAACCGAGCTTAGAGCAAGTCATTTACGTAACAGAAAATTAAGTAAGGCTGCCGCGGCCATAAAGCAGTGGGATTCATTTGCTTTACTAATGAAAGCCACAAAATCAAGTCTTATGTGAGAAAAATGCTGGATTTTTGATGAAGTCCTTCAAATCTCCATCCCTGTGGTAACCCTGGGATGTTTGGGTTCAAATCGGACCGCGCTTGTGCCCTGGGTTTGCTCCCTATAGACTAAAGCTATCGGCTGGTGTAACCTCAGGGGGGTCAGTCCCGGGGCTGATCCTGGTCATCACCGTCATTCATGACCTGGATGATGAGGCAGCCTCAGCAAAGGGTCCCGGTGGCCCCCAGGTTGACCGTGGGCGACGTGGCTTCACTGCAAAGGTGGCGAATGCTCTGAATGAGCTTTAAACTTGAGTTTAAGAAGTTGTTTAAAAGCAGAAGGCTTCTTTTTTTTTTTTTTTTTTTTTAAAAAAAAAGCTGCTGGAAATGCTGCTCTTGACCTCATCTCTGCTCATGAGAGCGAGACACAGATGAATGGCTCTTGTAGTGGGTTGAGAACAGCCTTGTGTACCTGGTTGTTGCTCGTTAACATTAATTAAGGTTATAGTGATGGTTGAGTGAGCTTTAATGTTCAATCGGGCCGATTAAGTGGGTGGATCGAGGTGGGGGCTGGTGCACTGCGTGCCGTGCTTGTCCTCTTAGAGCTGCTTCACCGGAGCAGCTGGTGGTCCCCAGCTACAGTCCTTCATGGAGCAGGGGAGGGGAAGGCTGAGAAGACGATTTAGGATGGATTTTGGGGGAAAATCCTGATTTTTCATCTTTCCAGAGAAAGCTACACTGAGAGCAAGGCACTAGTCCTCATCGTTTCCCCTTATTATAGAGTCTATAATGACGGCAGTAACGCCGCCATCCCCCCCGATGCGCAAAACTCCCTTCCTCCTCCTTTTTTTTTTGCCTTTTAATGACTGAAATTGCGGATAAATGTGTTTTATTGAGCTTGGCTGCCCCGGCAGGGGATTTTCTCTTGCTGCCTTTCTCTTTGCCCCCAACTGGGACGTCCCGTCCCGCCCGTGAAGCTCTTTTGAAGGTTGTTTCTGAGCATCCACCCCAACCCAAGCTCCCTCCTCAGGTGGGAGAAGTCCATCACCACAAATTTCCAACAAGAAAACAATTTTCCCTTTTTATTTTCATCTACCAAACCTGATGTTAAAAGACCCCCTGGGATAGAGACGATGATTTACCACATGTCATGGAAGCCTGTACTGATGGCTAATTACCCTGCAAGCTAATTACCTGCATGTTTCCTTTCTAGGCTGAATTTCTGAGCTTCAGTTCCCACCAACTGGCCCTTGTGCGTTGCCTTTCCTGCATAAACACAAGCCGATAATATCAAGATGGCCATTTTTTTGGGAGCCAACAACCTGCATCAAACCAGCTCTTACAACTCCTTTAATTAGCGACGGAAGAAGTTGGACGACCTAGAAATAAAATCACAGGGGCTGAGCGCTCCCAAGGAAAGCTTAAAGCTGAAATAAAAAAAAAAATTAACGAGCAGATGAGATTTTTTTCCTTTGCAAACGAGGGCTTCTTCCCAGCAACGGCGAGCAAAGAGGTTTTTTTTTTTTAATTTAATCTCAATTTGCACACACCAAGCAATTACCCAGCCACCCTCTTCAACCCTAGTGAATGACCTCATTTGGTCTTTGCAATTTTTTATTATTATTATTATTATTATTATTATTTTCCTGGAGGTTGAGGCAAGCGCGTTAGCCTCTAATTGAAACCAACTGCATGTTGTTTGGGGATAATTAAATTAATTGTTTGAGAGGTCGAGTGGGAACCCACACAGCAATGCTCTCCGGTGCGCTGGTTCAGCTCCAAGCCAGCAAACCTCATCCCACCCCTCTCTTCCCTCGATGCATTTTTGGGGGCTCCTGAGCATCCGATTTGTCCGCAGGAATCCGTCTTCTCTTCTCCAGCCTTAAAATTCCGAGCTGGCAGCAGCTTTATCGGCAGAAATCCATCTTTCTCTTCTCCAGCCTTAAAATTCACAGATTTCCAAGCAGAAATGTGCCCCCGCTGCCCTTTAGGTTGTGCATGCTGGGGTCGTATATCATGAATAATTACATAATCAATAACCAGTGACCCAGCGATGGGTAGAAATGCTGACTCAGCATCCACTTGAGATTTATGGTTGGACCATAAGCCCGGTGTGGGATTTCTTCCCCCTGGGTGCAACATACATCAGCCTCAGGTGAAATATCAACCTAAAGATGGAAAAAACCCCTCTTCCAGCTGAATTTTGTGCCGGTGATGAAATGGAAGCAGGGATATAGATATTTTTTTAACTGAGATCTAAATAATTTCCAGGAGAAAAGGGATGTTAAGTCATTTGCCTGTGGAAGATGGTCTCAGGAGGAAACTTCTCTGCTTCTTCCATGCTCCTATGTGATACTTTACAATTATAAGGTGTGAGATGCAATTATAAGGGGAGGCCAGGAGGCAAGTAGGTGTTATGTCAGTCCTGGGACTGCTTGACATCACTGCCACGACAAAGGGGGGGTCCCAAGCCCTCCCCAAAACAAGCCAGGCCCGGGAGTTTTGCTATTCCCCCACCCCCCTTACTCCATTCCCAGAGCTGAACCCCCGTTCAGGGTTGTCCATCCCAACAGTTTCCAAGTTAGGTTTTGTTTGGGTTTTCTTTTGTTCCTCATAAAAATATATATGATACTAATAACAGATTTTAATTAAATTATTGGCTAACGCCACTCCTTGAGGGACCTTCCGGGTTTGGGCTTTTGGATGTTGCGCAAGACCCAGCCCAGGCGTCTCGTGCTGTTTCGCAGCCTGCAGAGAGCAGCCTTTCCCTCCTTGATGGAAGCTCCCAGCCTTCTGCTCTTTATTAAAATGCCAAAAATCGGGAAAAATCCAAGCATCCCTGCTCCTTCCTTTATGCTGTGACCCACCGCGGAGAGATGAAGGCTTCCCAAAAGTCCCCAAACTGTCTTTATCAAGCAGGAGACAAGAGTTGGGTAAATAAAGCAATTTCCTTTTTCTTTCTTGAATCGTTAAGGTTTGTGCTCTGAGTTGGGTGGGGCAGGATTAAA